TGGAAAAATATGGTACCTTATTTCTTTATCTTATTGTTTAACATTTTAAAACTTCAGATTATTTAATTTCTAGGATTACCTTTTAAATAGTAATACCATGTTTGAATATTATTAGAATGTAAGGGTGTGCGAAATAGTTCAAATACAAATAGCTTTGAGCTTAAAATAGTTGTTTTAAGTGTTCTGTGCTTAGAACAAAACTCATGCTTTCTATGGATTTTATTTCAAATACAAAACAAATCTGTCCATTTTGAGTGGCGCTATTTTGAATGCTCCATATAGTCCAGCAATATGATTGGAGTGTTGTCTTGCCTTTTGTAAATAGAGTGCTGCCTTCTGAATTTTTTTCCTCCTGGAGCAGCACATCAGCAGGGACCAGTAATGTTCTTGCTGCTGTTTGCTTAAGCTGGTGGGGTCATCTGGGTGGAAGGAGTTTTGGAGTGAAGTAGCAGATAATTCAGGCCATCCAGAGCCATTCTAGATATGACTGAAGTTGATGAGAGAGGAGGATCAGGGAATGTTGCAACGGACCTGAAAGTGGATTGGATTCAGTGCTGGTACTTCTGCTCAGCTAGGTGAGTGTATCTGGTTGCAGTCCCATCAACTTAACCCAGGGTGGTTAATTAGACAGGAAGAGAAAGAGAGAAATTCCCATCCCTCTTTGATCTTGCTTTCTTGTGTTCCCTTCTGAGTTTAAAAGGACACCCCCCTCCCCTGAAACTCCTCCCCAAATAAGTCTGATTTTTTTGTTCAGGGAACTAATTCTTCCACTTCATTGTGTATAAGCAGAGATATCAATGGTCCTTGTTCCGTGCACATGTGCATATATTAAATAGGGCTAATTTTAAAAAATACATAGCCCAAGCATCTTTCCAGCCTTGGCAATAGTATGTAATCCCTGGCATCCTCTAACACTAAGATGCATACCCTTAAGCAGAGCTGATGCCTGTAGAATAGTTGAAGCACCCGTGAATAGGGCAAGCAGCAGCATGCTACAAAGGCAGCAGATTTTGCATGTGCTATCATGCAGATGAAGGCTTTGGATGAGCATGGTATTAGCATGGTAAAGAATGGCCAACTCATCTTTACTACCAGACTGGCATGACCTTAAATAGACATCTGGTGCTTTCCTGGATCACTAACACACACAGGAACTGTCAATACTGCTGCAAGCAGTAGGCCATAAGACATCATATCACTTAGATGTTGGCCCAATTAAGACAGAGTGTGTACTTATAACTTCTCCTGCACTGAACATGGGAGTGTAGTGAGGCAACACCTGCTGTTATAGGGCCTTGAATATGATGAGGAACAAGACACAGGTTCATGTCAAGTTGCTGGATGTAGCTCACACAGCAGACGAGATAAGTATGACCCCAAACAGACATAGGAAGGATACCTGAATAGGAGAAAACAAATTGCTTCAGTTTCTGCAATGGGATTGTCAAAATATTATTAAAATAATATTCTGTCAGAGCAAAGCACAAAATATTTGAAGTGTTCCAGCCACATGAAATAATGAGAAATGAGAATGTCATTTGCTTCTTTGTTTTTCACCCTAGACTCACAATAACAGTGGCAATTTATGATAACCTCTACTAGCCAACTTGCAAAAAAACCTTGACAATAATTCACAAAACCATAGTGTTAACAAAATTAATTCATAGATAAAGTATCTAATAAGAAGAATTCTGCTTATTTAAACGTGTTACAGTACTGGATATGGGGAATGCCTCCTAGATAAACCAAATGGAAGAATCTATGACTTTCAGCCACAGTTACCTGGCTCCCTGTATGATGTGAACAAGCAATGTGAACTTATGTTTGGTCCTGGATCACAAGTATGTCCTTATATGGTAAGTTACTTTATATAAAACTGCATAATGACTATTAGGTAAAAACATGGAGACTAATTTCTTAACAATTCAAAATTGTGTTTTTTTCATGAACTTTTTAGAATGTTGATCGAGTTTTTTGACACTTCGTTTTCTTGATAAATCCCCTGTTTTCCTGTATGAGACAGTAAAATTGTACTTAGTTTTTTTGAGTATTTCCACTTTTAGGGGTCCAAACAAAAGGTAGAATTTTTTTTTTTCCTGAGTGAAATGAAATTTTATGCCCTTTTTTAAATAGCAGATGCACACTGTCCACACTTCACTGAACTGTTTACCATTTCTCCAAGATCTCTTTCCTCATGAGTCACTGCTACATCTGATCCCATTACTTTATATGAGGAATTAGGATTTTTAGCACCAATGTGCATCATCTTGGATGCAATGCATATGCTAAGTTTCACTACCACTGTATATGCAAACCATATCCATATTGTAACATTTGTCCAGAGATATCATCAACACATGCAGTCTTATCATTGTTCAGCTCCCTCTTAGAGCATTTATGACTTCATTTTCGTCATTGTTTCTTTCTTGGACAATAACATTTATAACATTCATTTCAATTCCACTCTTTGAGAGATCACTATCATTCCCATACAAATCTCTAAATTACTCCCTAAAGCATTGCCTCACTTTTGAGTCTTATCAAGTCTTTTAATTACTTCTATTCTTAATTTAATTAACTCTGAAGGCTATTTACTCACTTCTAAAACCCTTTTCTTAAAGTGTCTATCAAATTCCTCTCAATTTTCTCTTTCTCTTTAATGTTAACCATTCCTTGTTATCTTTGGGCTCTTCCCCATCCCCTCAGTGATGTGCTTTTCTCCCATCTGCAAGATGGGAAGAAGATATGCAGCTTGGAAAATTGGAGCACTGATAGCTCTTACTGCACTGCCAAAACAAGGATAGAGTCAGCCCTACAAGTTAGACAGATCAGGAAACCAACTCCACAGGAAGATTAGAACTACTGTATACTTTACTGAGATAGGCTATAGTAACAGAGTCTGGCAAGTTTGCCTGTGTTTTCTTTCCTTCCCTCTTATATGCCAAGGAGTCAAGGGATTCAGTCTGAATCTTTGTTTCATACTCTTCTCCTCCCCTGGTCTTAACACATGCTTCTTCAGCACCTGCTGTTGTTTTAAAAACTTCTGGCTGCTTTCTTCAAGGTCATCTCCATGGCTCCCTACAGACAGAGAACCAAGTATAAAATATATGTCAATTAGATCACGAATGAATGGGAAAAATGTGTTTCAGAGTTGACCCTTTTTCTTGAAAATATAATTAAGAGCCTAGTACAATTTTTAAGGCCAAAGCTCCACTTAAAAATACAAAGATCATTCATATATTACTTTTTGTGGTTTGATAGCTATATAAAGTTAAAATACCTTTAAAAACTTTGTTTTTAATTTGTATCCTTCCCTATGTCAATTTTAGTTACAATTTAAAACTAGATTTAGGCAGTCCTCAAAATGCTATAGAATGAGGTTTTTTCCTGGCACTAAACCTTCTGAGTAATAGATTTGCTATAAGCATTTTAAAGAAATAAAATATATTTGTATATTACTCATGTTACAACAAGACTTCTGTTTTATAGAGACAATGCAAACGTCTATGGTGTACAAGTGCAGAAGGTATTCACAGGGGTTGCCGTACACAGCACATGCCACTGGCTGATGGAACAGAATGTGGACATGGAATGGTAAGATTTCACTTCTGCTACTACTACTGGTCTCTCCTATAATCCTTGCACTGTTTTTTGTCTAAATCCCGGATTCAGCACATGTTTCTTATCCTTATCTGCAAAGCCTTCTGTGATTCATCCCTACAGAAACAAATAGAGCATTTGTAACACCATACCCCACAGTTTTCTTCTTGAAGGCTCAAGATAACTAGCAAGATTGTACCACTTCCATTCCACAATGTAAATTATCTACTTACATGGCTGTTGTAGGTTTTGTTCCCAAATTAGGCTGGAAAACAGATTGGAATTGGTTTTAAATAAGATCAATTATTAGATTCTAAACAATCAGTATTTACCTAAGAGAAGCTACACCATTTGCTCAAGATGAATCTGTCTGTCTGAATCTTGGTATTAGAGTTTCGTTTTTAACTTCTCCCTTAAAGAGGATTAAGCTTCCCTAATCTCCAGGTTATAAACTGGTCATATTTAGCAAGTTCCCAACTAGACATGGCTTCTAAATTCCTTCTAACATCCAAGGATATCCCTTCCTTGGGGATAATAATTCCTTCCTTGGTAGAAGGGAATTATTCCTTGTAGACAGTATTTTTTATCTGTTTGCTTGATCATAACATCAAGTATGCACAAACATTAAGCCAAACTGTAAGTACAGTTTAGAGGTTGGGAGAAAATCAGCTAAGAAATTTGTTCCATCCTGATTTCTAAGCCATGTATAAATTACACCTCTGAGTTTTTCACTTGCACAGAATCCATGATTTGGAAGCCCACATCTTCTGTCCATATCTAGAGTTGTAGCTTTCATTTTTATCTTAGTTTCTTTTCAAACACTGCAGAAGCTGCATTATCAGGAACTTCTGAGACATACCTAGGTGAGTGCATGCTTACCTCAAGTCTCACTGGAAAGAAAACGTCCCATTGGATGGTGAGGGCCAATTCATTATCAAGCATAAAAAGAGATAATAGATTTGGCAGGATGAAGAAGCTGAAAATGTCAACATACTGAGTAGGCATGAACCTGAGTCCAGTATCAACACTATTGATTTTGATACCAAGGCTCTACCAATACCAGGAGCTTTTGTTCATCATCCTTGACAATGTTAAGAACATGCCGATAGACGCATCTCAGGACTAAGTTGGACCTGACCCCTTAAAACAGGGCTTTTGATTTACGTCCACTATGCAGGACTTCAGTTGGCAATGTATTACAACTCTACTGACAGAATTTAATCCTAGAAATATTAATATTAGAATATAGCAAAAATTCAGAAAGGCACTACCAGCACATTGTTCACATACCTGCAAATCATTTCCAGCTCTCTGGAACAAGATTAGGTCATAGTTATCAAAGGGAGCCATAAAGCCAGTATCACCAGCTCATACCAAACATGATTTTTACTCTTGCTGTTTAATCATTCTGAAGTGGGTTAGCGACCTCTGCTCTATCCTATCGGTCTGGGCCTTAAGTTCATTTCGGCTTGAGATTCAATATAATAGCACTCTAGAATATTCTCCCACTACTGCAGTAAGCATATGTTCACATACTTCTTTGTGAATCATCCTCATCCCAAAAGAATTCCACCCTGGCTAAATGGAAGATGTAGTAAATGTCGTGACCTGGAGTTGGTCAGGGTCTCAGTAGGGAGAAACAAACTTAAACTCATCCCAAGCAAGACAGAATGGCTGTTAATTCAAAAGCCTACTGATTCTGGATCTGTATCATCTTTAACTCTCAGTGGGTTGTGCTCCCATTATAGTAGGTTCATATGCCAGGAGTCCTCCTGAACCTATGGCTCCTACTTGAGAAGGGGGTGGAGACCATGGCCAGCCCTTTGCTCAGTTTCAGCTGGTGTGTGAGTTGAGCTGGTGTATGAGTAAGGTTGCATAAGTGCAACCTTACATGGAAGGAGACATTCTGAAGACTACTCATTCTCTCATCATACTTCATTTAGATTACTATAATTAACTGAACATGATACTGTCCTTGAAAGTCACCCATAAAATTCAGCAGATTCAAAATGTGGCAGCCTGTATGCTTACTGGTCACTCTCAGTATTTTCATATTACACCACTCCTGCAGAGCTACATTGGTTATGATTATGTTATGGTGCGGGTCGCTAGCTTTAAAGACTTCACTGGCTCAGCACCTCGGAATCTAAGGACTTGCCTTTTCTTGACAAAATCTGAAGAGTCTGAGACGGAGAAGCTGCTCAGGATGCTCTGGGTGGATACCAGCCTCAGGGACAACCTGGCCATTTGGAACTCATTGCAGGCAAGCTGCCTAGGGATTTGAAACTTCATACGACACATGGTGGCGCAGGGCTCAGTGACGCTGGAGTTTGCCAGTCAGAAATGGTCGGCACTCCAGCAGTTCGGGCCCGGCTCCATGTGATGGGGTGAGCTCCCATCACTCATCCCAGCTTCTGCCAACCTAGCAGTTCAAAAGCAATTCCATCTGCGAGTAGATAAATAGGTACTCCCATTTCGGTGGGAGGAACTGGCAGTGCTGTGCAGGGAGCAGAAACCGGTGCGAGACCCAACTTAATGCTGGACGCGACTGACACGATCAGCGTGAAAAAGACCTACAAAAGAAGGAAACAGCCCAGATGTGCTGTGACTCCCTAGCGACCGCTGCTGGCTGGATAGTATAGCCATTAAATTGTTAGATAGAATTAAAATTGCTTAATTGTATATGTTGTACTTTGTGAGCCGCCCAGAGTTCCCCGTTGGGGGGAGATGGGCGGAGAATAAATCCAATGTATAAATAAAATAATAAATAAATAAATTACTCTGTGTGTGCATTTGCACACACACCTTGCTTGCTGATGCCCATAATCACTAAATCCTAAGTAATGCTCCTTGCAACTGTTCTTCCATGTGTGTATGTGTTCTGGCCTGGGACTGGACAGTCCTCTATTTACATAATAATAGAATAGAGATAGAATGATAAGGATTAAGTAAAGCTAAGATACAAAATCCATAAAGTACAGAATAAATTGATAGGTTAAGATGAGCTATACAGGTGGTCCTGGTTTAACGATCACTTGTTCAGCGACTGTTCGAACTTACAGTGGCACTGAATGGCTGGTAGTTACAACTGGACCTCATGCTTATGGCTGTTGCAGCATCCCGCAGTCACATGATTGTGATTTGTGACCTTCCCTGCCAGCTTCCCACAAGCAAAGTCAGTGGAGAAGCCAGCAGGAAGTTGGAAGCCACAGTCATGTGAGGTCCCCACGTAACAACCGTGAGGTTTTTATTTAACAATGGCAACTGGGACTGCTGGAAGTGCCATTGCTAAATGGCACGGTCACGTGGTTTTTTGACTTATGCCTGGGTTGCTTAACCACAGAATTTCTGATCCTAATTAGCATCATTAAATAAGGACTACATGTAGTTAGGCTAGAGCAAAGATGATGAATAATGTTGAATAAAGTTGCTGCTACATAGGGAAGAAAGAAGAATCCAGAAGAAAGGATAATACTGAAATGATTAAGAGCAGCTGAGAGATGACTAGAGGAAGTTGGAAGTATAAGGGATATAAGGAGGACTTCAAATAAGTTCAAATGTAGCATAAGTTTTAGTATAGCTGCTTAAGAAATTAGCATTAATGAGGTAAATGTATAAGAAAAAGAAAATGTACAATAAATAACCAAGCATTTCACTGTTTGTTTAATAAGTAAAGTTTATTTTGTCTATTGGATATTGCTAATAAACACAATTGCTCAAAATGAGAGTTGTCTATGTCCTGTCTGGGATTGTTTGCATAACAGAACTCCATGTTAGATATTTACCACTGTTAGTCTTTAAATTTTAACTTTGCTATGTTTCTCATTCGAGCAGCACTGCTGGCATGGGGTTTGTGTAAACAAGGAAACGGAGAGGCTTCCTGTAGACGGAGGATGGGGATTGTGGGAACCTTACAGTTCATGCACCAGAACATGTGGAGGAGGCATCAAAAGTGCAACAAGATTGTGTAATCGGCCAGAGTATGTATTTATTCATATATATATATATATATATGTAATATTTTTATTCTGCCTAACAGCATCTTTGAAAGCAACAAATTAACGAATACTTGACATCATAGAAGAAATAAGTATGAACAATGTACTACTCCATACATACATTGAATGGAAATATATACATTCATACATACATTGAATGATGCTTGAAACTACATGAAAGAACAGCTTATTTTTCTTAATAGAATTTCAATCTATTAAAGAAAACCTGGGCATTTGTAATTTCATTGAGTTGCTTATATTTTAAATCCAAACATTATGGAAGTTACTATTAAAAGACACAATAAAATGCACATTTAATCTTTCTTATATATATAATTTTATGTTATTGTAATAAAGTTATGAAGTAGAAATAGTACAAGGTTAGGAAAATACCATAGTTATTATCTTGATTATTTGACAGTGTAGTGATGTAATTTAATATTTTCATCCAATTTATTGTTGTTAAAATCACTTTCCATTATTATTGTTGTTTTTATTGTGTTTTATGACTTGTTATAAACTAGTATAAGCTGCTTATAATAATTAAAAATGTCAGTATAAATTAGGTTGAAAATAATGTTCATTTTTTGCTGATAGTTGTCTGTTATTAAATCATTGTAGTAAGTTCCCTTTCAAAAAGCTTGCTTTAAATAGGTATGCCATTCTTAACATGTTGAAATACAATTTTCATTAGACCAAAACACGGAGGAATGTACTGTGTGGGTCGCAGGATGAAGTTTCGATCCTGTAATACCAACTCATGCCCCAAGAGCAAAAAAGATTTTCGAGATCAGCAGTGCTCTGAATATGATGGTAAACATTTTAACATCAATGGACTAACATCTACTGTGCGCTGGCTTCCAAAATACAGTGGTAGTAAGTAGTCATAAGCTTTCTTTCTCAGCTTAATTTTCATAAAGCTTTGCAAGTGAATGAAAGTATCCTTGATTTTTTTGCTTCAACAGTTTCTCTGAAGGATCGATGTAAGCTTTTTTGCCGTGTCTCTGGCACAACATCTTATTATCAGCTGAAAGACAGAGTTATTGATGGTACTCCATGTGGAACAGACACTCATGATATCTGTGTTCAAGGTTTATGCAGGGTAATTAATTTTATAGTGCTTTATATAAATATTACAAATTCAATGAAACTGTCTAAATATCTTGCCTGCATTGATGTTCAGTGCATTGATTCAAATCAGTTTAAATTACATTCTTATGACTATATTTATCAAATAATGAGTAATCAGATATATAAAGTGAGCAGTAACCATTGGAGTAAATAGGCCATTTAATGAAGTTATCACAGTGACTTAATGCAGATGTAACTAGTTTTCACTAAACAATGGTTTCATAAGTGGTAGTTTCCCATGGCATCATCCATGTGCAGCTATTATCCTAACTTTCAGTTTTGAGATACCTGTATATAGAGTTTGTCTGCACCTTTATTTTCGTTCATAGTGATTAGCATTGAGTCAGTTTATAACCAGAAGTACTTTTGCATTTATTTATTTTATTGTTTTTATTTATATGGCCGCCTGGCCAGGTTTTGATTGGAAATTCTGTAGTTAATAAAAAATATTGTAGATCTAACAATACCCAAATAGAAAGGAAGGCAGTGCCTTCATGAGCCAAGAAGAAACACAAACTCATGGGTGATCTTGATTTGATATTTGTGCAGTATTACAATTTCACCAATTCTAGGTGAATCAGTTCCCAACAAGTGTCTCAATCTAATGTAATAAATATGTTAACTAGTATTAAATAAGCTTCTGTAGGTTGGTTTGGAAATATGATTAGTTGGTACTCTCTGAAATTGGGAAGTATTTTAACTAATTTCTGAACCTTGCTAAAGCCACAGTGAGAGAGAAGGGAAGACGTCTCTTCTTCTCCCTTGTCTTCTTTGTTGCAGAGAGCTAGTACTGTTTCAGGAGTTACTGATAAAAATTCCATTTCACAAAGGGTTACTAGTAGAGTGATGCTTAACTAAACAATGCTAGCAAGGAACATAGTCTTTTTTCTTGTTTTTGCTACTTGCCAATTCATGAGAACACAACCAGCAAGTAGGGATGAGTATCCAAATTGAAGGAGGACTGCTTAATAGGACAGAGCAGGAATGGGAGATTTGTGGGCTGGAAAATTCTGAAATAGATTTTTGAATTGTGCTCGTAATTTTTACATTCTGTTCAGGAAGTAAGATGGTTTGTAAATGAAAATTTCTCACTTTTTTCCCTATTGCTCTGTAAATTTTATCCAGTTTATGCAATTTAACTCATTTTTAGCAACATGCTGTTAAAAAACTTCTAAGGAGCCTGATCTTGGCATATTCATTTAGCAATCTACTTGTATTGTTAAGTAATGCTCACTTTTCTTGCAAAGCAATCCAAAATAATTAACTATAAGAAATGTTAAATGAATTATATTTTTAGATTCAAATAAGAAATTTAAATTACTATTACTTTTTTGAATTCTCTTATGTGATTGTAAGCTCTTTTTTGATATATTTTAGCAAGCTGGCTGCGATCATGTTTTAAACTCCAAAGCAAGAACAGATAAATGTGGCATCTGTGGTGGTGATAATTCTTCATGTAGGACTCTTACTGGTACTTTCAACAGTGCTCATTACGGTAAGCTTTTTCATGTTGTATGTAGTGCATGTAGCATTCAGTTCATTAATATGCCAAAATGTGTTCATTTGTAACTGGATATCTGCACAGTGAGCTTTTTGATACACGTTTTAGCATAAGAACATAGTCCCGAAGTAAGTGAAGTTTGTTTATTTGCAAAGATTGTCCACAATCTCAGTAAGCTTTTGCTTTAAACATTTGTGAACACATATATCATAAATGCCATTGATTCCTACGTTATTCTCAAGCCCAGTTCTTGGCACGATGCCGTTTGAATGTTGAAAAGGAACTTAGCATAGTGCCACATATTTCAGGGGTTTCATCAGTTTGTGACACTTAAAAGCAATAATATTGGAACTGTCTGAATTTTCCAGGACCATGTTATCTAGTAGGTACATAAAATTTGGATATATAAAATGTGCCTTTCTGTCCCTGTGCAAATGATATGAAAGTGCCATTCAGACTGCCTATCTGACATATGGTTTGGAAGAAGCGATGGAAGTGTTCCTCACTTGTATTATTCTTATGCCCAAGTCGCAGTATAAATTCTGTGATTTTTTTAAAAGTCATGATAACAACTTTTCCCTGTAAATATTCTAACATACAGTCTCATAGTCATAAGTGGCAAACCTAAGCACCTTTATTTATAAGACTAGTAGAATAATATCATAATAGTTGCTATGGGATTATGCAGTCATGTTATATTTGCTAATTAATACTTATTGTTCCCCAATCTCTATTGGAACACTGTGATCTTTAGGTTTTATTAATCCACTATATATTGTCATTACGTTTAAATAATTAAATTAAGAAGTTCTTTAATAAATAATAATTTGCCCAATACAGGCAATCGCTTAGAAGGCTGCCTTATTTATTCCCATGGCTTGACTGATATTTCCATGGCTCAGCTGATACTTGTTAAAAAGCAAAACTAATATTGTATGTTGGAAAAATCATTAGTGAAGTACAAGTATTTATGATATTCATTTCTATTTTGACTTAATTGCTATGGTCTGTTATGGAATGTAAACTTTGCCCTTGAAATAGAGAAGGGATGAATGAACTGTTAAGGAGGAGGACACAGAGAAAAGATTACTTGGTCCTGAGGAAGAAGAAAATATGAGAAAGAAACTCAAAATAATCCTGCCTTGATTTTGTTTGATATAAGATGCAGTACAGAGAAACTCCAATAGCTTTCAAGATTCTGTTGTTATACCTTAAAACAATAAAGAACATTCCTGAAATCCCTGCTGCTTCTGTTTCTTGACCATGCCTATCTCAAATAGCTGACATGTCCTACGATGAACAGAAATTAATAAAGTAACTAAATAGTGTTCTTAAAAACAAATGGTTGGATTCAGATTTTCCTCTTCAGAATGATAGAGCTCCTTCCATTCATGAGAAAAACTAGAATTCAACAGAAGCTTTTAGTTGAAGGAAAGGGACAAGGCAGTGATTTTCTTTTTCTTATTTTCCCTGATCTCTTGCTACTTCTCATGCTGGTCCAGTATATTGGAGATATCCCTTGTAAAAATACAGGAATGCATCAGCAGCTTTAAGAAAGGGAGTTTTTGAGGACACATTTCTCCAGAGCAGCTGAAGCCTGTTGTACATTAGTCTGTATCCATTGTTTTCTACTTAAAAGTGATTGTCTACAGATAATGTTCTATTTATTTCACTTTCAAATATACTCTTCCATAGAATTAATGTTCAGTTGTGTTTCAGGCTATAACATTGTAGTAAAAATACCCAAAGGAGCAACAAACCTGGACATACGCCAGCATAGCTACTCAGGGAAGCCAGAGGATGACAACTATCTTGGTAAACATTTCTGATGTATTCTGAAATAACTGCAGATAATTTACAGAGCTAAAATAATTTATTTGTAAATGTTTAAAACAAAAAATATTATAAGTCTATTTTAACCTATGTTAGTCACTGATGTGATAACTGTCTGTGTTTGTCTATAGAATAGAATAGAATAGAATAGAATAGAATAGAATAGAATAGAATAGAATAGAATAGAATAGAATAGAATAGAAT